TACTTTTGTACGTGTATATTTTGATGTAGAGGAGAAACTCGAGGGGGAGTTAATTTATGCACTGTTCTGTTGATGGATATTTAGGTTCTTTCCATTTGGGACTGACTCTTCCCATAAAAGTCTTTTCACTAATGTACTCTGTGTCTGAAAGTGAAATAGATTAGTCACAGGATAAGTGTCCTTTTTACTAGAAACTGTCGACTCTTTAACAAAACAGTGGACCTTTTTTTGTATTTCCACCACAAAGAGATGAGAGATCCAGTTGCCCCAGGTAGGAGATGTGGGTGGCATTTCATTATCTTTCCTATAAGTTCCTGGAAATGTGCTGGCCCATCTAGTCTAGTCCTATGGCAGTCATAACACAGCTTTCATGTTCAGCTTAGGCAGTGGTGATTCTTACATTCTTTTATGTTTCTAGGCACTTGAAGCTCAAGACAAATTTTCCTTCCAGAGACCAGAATGAAAGAACTACAATATGGAATTTCTCTATCCAAATGGAATTTCTCTATATAGGCTGTTCCTGTTGTGTGTGTGTGAAGGAAAAGTCATCAATTTTATCCTGACATTTTTATTACCCGATTGCTCATTTAAGAACTTCTCACCCTTGAAGGTGAATTCACACAACCGAGGCTTTCTCTGTTCAACCTTTGTAAATTGGAGAGATAAAAATGTTATCATTCTGCCAAACAATGAGTGTTAAGCAAAAACATAGTAATGAAGTTTCCACGCAGGAGATGCCTAGACATGAAGCTCACAGTTTTGCCTAAACTGAAACTATGTTCCAGATCAACCCTAGGACTGAGCTAAGAAACTTGCACCTGGAGATGAAATCACAGGAGCGCCTTCTGCCTTCACCACATCTCAAATACGCATCAGTGCTGACTAACGAGTGTTCAGGGCCAGGAGCTATTTACTTGTGGCCCCCAGGCATTTCATAACCCATGCAACTGAGGCCAAAACCAACACATGAAAGATGGTGGGATTTCAGGAGAATAACGTCTTTAAAATCACTTTCATAATTAATTAATAAAGCAGATGCCGGTTCTTCTCTTCTGGAAATCTTCATATTCTGAAAGAATACATTTTCTTTCACTCTGCTCTTTTTATGTCAGTTGCATGCAATTTGAGTTATATTAATTTGAGTTATATTTACCCTGGATTAACCTATTCTAGCAATAATATATTTTCAAATTATTTAAAGAAGGTTAGGTATATGTAGGGTAATTATTATTTTATGTAATGTACTAAAAATAACTAGCATCATCGCTCATTTTTATTTTCATTAAGTCAACTTACCTATGTGGATACATAGTGCTTGTGTCAGCTTCACAATTAATACAATCAGAAGCCTTAAACCATCAAATGCTATAATCCAGACACAGCTATCTTTCCCTTTCTCAAGTCTAAATAGACACAGGATCTCTGTTCTGCTTTTTAGACTCTATAAAAAGAATCTCTGATAGAACCTGGGAAATTGTTGGGAGTTGTGTTTTGCAATGTACTACATTCCAGGAGTATTTTACCAGGGATCTGAATAGTAGCCTAAAATGCTACTACTAATTCTGCTACTCTTGCTTTTCTTCTTCCTTAGTCACACATTTTCCAAATCTCCCTCTGCTTATCTCAGTCTACCTATGGGATCTGATAAATCTGATAAATTTACTTAAGGTTTTATCCTATAGGATTTCCTAAGAGAACAATCAGTAGATGTATGGGTTGCTGGTCTGTCCCTTCAGTCATTTTACCTTCCATACCTAGAGCATTCATTGGTTTCCACATCTGAAAAACAAAACATATGAAACTCCCCTAGGAATAACTGTAACCCTGGATAAATTAATAGATGAGAAATCTATTAATGTTAAGGAATAGGGAAATGTTATTTGTTAAAACGGAAAAACCAGAGTCAGTTCTTAGATCAGGTTATAGCTGAAATCTATACCTGAATGCATGAAAAAGATGTATGGTATTTCTCCCAAAGAGTTGCCTATTTAACAAGGGGGGAAATAGGATAAATCGTCCTCCAATGAGAGTTATTAACAGAAGGCAATGGAAGGGATAAAAGTTGAGACAAGGAAGGGTAAATAAAAAAACTGAGGAAACCACAAATGAAATACAATCATACTCATAAAATTTAACAATAAAGCTATTAGGGTATGTGATAATTTCACTAAAATGCACATTAAAAGTGACATTTTGAGACTGTAGAAATCAAAGCATGAAGTCTCTCCAAATACGCCTGATGTTTGCAGAATGCGTCGGCCCTCAGTGATCTCTGCTTTGAGCTCGCCTGAGACCTTTGACTTCAGAGCCCTTCTTGGTTGGGCTGCAGGCTGCCGCTGGCCCGGTCAGTCCACTGTAGGCTCCCCTGTACTCCAACTGTATTTGCCCTGGTCAGTTTATCTGCCAAATGCTCCGTAAGCATCTCGCTCAGTGAAGTTGTGCAGGATTCAAGGGGACCTCAGCCTGATCTTCAGGATCTGTTACTGCCAGTCAGGGTTTGACTCATATCCTTGACTTAGAGGTAATTCTGATTACATTTCTGTTTCTGGTAGGACTTTGTTTACTGGAAATTTATTCTCACTCCTGACTGACAAACCTCAATTCACAAAAATGCCTACTTCCTAAGTTGATTTGTTTAAGATACTCTGGACTTACTGATGGATTTGCTTTAAATTCTTCAAAAAATAGCTCTTTTACTTCATTTGAATAAGATACTGTTTTCTTTTTACCAAATTTCAGGAATGCATCTAACCACAGGTAAGGTTTGCACCCCTGCATAAAGACAGTGCTGGAGGAATGTCTCCAAAATCTCAAAGGTCCACAAAGACAGCATAATGAAAAGTATCAAATATTAGTGTAATCTCTTTCACAAAGAAGAAAATGACTTCATTTTTTAAAAATGCTGTTATGCTGAAAAGGTATCTGTATCCCCATTCTCAGAGACTGAAGCAGGATAATTGCAAGTTCAAGACCAGCCTGGGTAATTTAGCAACTTAGCAAGCTCCTATCTGAAAGTGAAAAATAAAAAATGGGGAGGAGACCAGGCAGAAGCTCAGAGCAGGGGCCCTGGATTTAATCCCCAGTACTCTAGTGAGAAAAATGCTGATTCTATCCAAACAAGGGCCACCTATTAACTGTCCTCAATGTTCTACTTTTCACTTTCCTGGGCTGGAAACCTAAGTGAGTCCAGAATGATTATATGTTTTATATGGAAAGCAAAAGAAAGAAAGTGGTGCCCAGAGGGAGTCATAATATTGAACATCTTTTGAGTATCAGATAAAATCATGGTGCACTGGAAAGCACCCTTTAATTACCCATGTTAATCACAGACAAGACTACTTTGTTTAATCTAAAAGTTTTTATGTTCGCCAGCACATTCAAATTCTAGATTGGCTCATCTGTGATAAACATTGCTTTCGATTTTTATTAACACCTTCTTCTTTTCTGCTTCCTAAATCTCCATCTGATCTTATTTCCTAAAACTGCGGTGTATAGTCTAGAGACCCAAGGAGTCCAATCACACCTCTTCAACTAATCCACTTAATTACCCGACTTATCCCCAAGCAAAGTGCTGACTGGAAAAACCACATACTTCATTCATGAGTGTCTGTGATTGGAAAAACTGGATGACCCCAATCCTGCTCTACCACAGTCTGATCCATGTTTCTGAGTTTCTGTCAGTGGTAAAATTCCACACAATCAGACAGTCTATTGGAGACAATGAAAATTTGAGTTAGTTTGTTGCTTTCTTTGGTGCCATCTCCTTGGAGTAAACTTTATCATACATAAGACTCTCTAAATAAATATTTTTTAAAAAACACTCCTTTAACCTAACAATCTCTCCTGGTCTATAATTTAAATTTCTTAATCCTTTTTCATATGAGTTAATTATAATAATCATTTAAAAAGAAATAAAGCCTATACTCTATTTGATTTTGAATCCAGTGAAATTTGACTGAAATTGCTTTTTATGTTTTCCTCTTAAGGTCACAAGCAATTTCTAGATTTCTATACCCATAGGAATATTTTTTCAACTTTTATCTGTGAACGTTCACTTGATTTTCATTCTGTCAACCACCTCCTGCCTTATAAAAGCTAACTAGCTTTGTTTCTCTGTCACCACATATTTCCTGGCATTCTTCATATCTCCATGAGTTTCCTTTTGCCTGTTTTCTCTGCACAGTCATCAGTAGTGCCCAGGCATGCTGGTTTATCTCCCGGTCCTCCCCTGCCTTCTTTCCCCGTGCGGCTTCCTTACACCTGCTGTCCAACAATCACATTTCTGCTCATGACTACCAAATCCCAATTGTTGGTCCAGTCTTCCACTGGAGGTTCTGGGCCATGTGCGAAGCTATCGGCTAGATAACTACATTTGAGTTAGAAATAAAACTGAAGTCCATGTGCTGAAAGCAGAAACCATCAGTTTCTCCTCTAAATGTGCTTCTATCCCTGTATTCTCTAGTTTATCATATTGCTATGCAAACAAATAGAAACCTAAGTGTCAGTCCTGATGCCACCACTTCCTTGGCCTTGAAGGCCTTGAGTGAGATCACACTCCAGATCTCGCTCTGAGCACACCCAGAGCCTCTCTGTCAGCTCTCTGACTCTGGCACCTGGATCTGCCTCCCGCATGTCCCACTCACCTGCCCTCACCGTCCGCGGGTGCTGCGGGCATCTGTGCCTCTCCCTTCAGTGGTGCTCTGTCTCCACAGAATGAGGCCTCCAGGCATGCAGCAGCCTCTTGGCCCCTGCGCCCCCATTTCTGGCCACTCCATCCCTTGCCTTTTGTTTCACTGCTCTGTCTCATGCGGAATGCAGTACTTTCTGTGTAGCATGGATTTCTTGCCTTGTCTTTCACCCAGGCCATCTCCTTTCCTACCTCTCAGCATTCCATCACCTCTGCCAACACCTTGGACCTCCTAAGTAACATTCTTCGAGAAAAAGCTAATATATTCTCCCAATGTTTTCAGCATGGACCAGCCCCACGCTCGGTCGAATACCTGTCCTCTCCCTCTCCTTCAGACTCATCCTCAGGTGCCCAGGTGAAGCTGGTGCTCTCCAGCAGGTGCCAAGTGGGCTGCCAGGCTGGTTGGGCTGCGACGCTGTTAGCAGCCTGAAGGTCTGAGATTGGATGGCATTTCTTTCTGCAGAGCAGGGGTATGAGACACATGTTATTGTTGCCATTTTCTGCTGAGTTGCCTTCTGATAGTTCGTTTTTGTTTGAAGCACGATGTGTTTACAGAACATCAAACACATCCAGAGCTAATCTGGCCATCAAATTACATCTCAAAATTCGTAACACTAAAATAGCCACTGTTGCAGAAAATTATGACACGTTTCCTTTCATACAGGACACAATCACAAGCTACTTATGGCTGTCACGTCTTCCCATTCTAATTTTGTCGTGGAGATGCCACCAAGCAGCACCCAGATACAGGTGTGCACCTCCCCTGATCTCTGCACAGGTTTTGGCAGTATGAGCAAGTAGAAAGGAGAAAGGAGGGACATAAAACAGTCGGAGCCACCATCCCAGAAACCAAGAGATGCTGCAGTGCATTTTTACACGATTTTAGCTTTTTAACTCTAGGAAAAGAAAAGAATGATGCTTCCTGTAACGCAAGAGCCAGAGCCTGGGATTGTCTCACAGGAAGCATCTGGGCTCTGCGGGTCAGGGGCGAGGAAGGCTACAATGGATCTGCATCGTGGGGAGTGATTCAGTGTGCGGAAACTGAAAGTTTCAGGGAATCGGACGTGACCGCTGCTTTAGGCAACGGCGAAGAAACACCGAGAGTGGAAGAACCATAGAAAGAGGCCTGAAAACAACTCCAGAGGCTTCGAGAGATAAAAGCAAAGTAAGCCAAACCAATTACCCATGGAATAACAATGATAGAATGGGAATCATTGAGAAGCCCAGCTGTTACCTCAAAAAGTCATGGAGGAAATGCAGCCCTATCTGTGGATGACCAGATCTAACAAGCTTTGCTAAGAGAGATGATGAGAAACAAGGAATACCACAAGAGGAAAAAATAACCCTTTTTATCAGAAGGGTTTCCAGCTTCCTGTACAACAAAGTTCATAGATTTTTTTTTTTTTTTTTTTTTTTTTTTTT